GGATACTACCTCAGAGTAGGTCTTGAAACTAATCCCTTATTCTCTGTATTGCTACTACTTTGGTCCAAGTACTACTAGCTCTCCCTTGGCTTATAGCAGCAAACTTCTTAATGGATCTCTGTGTTTCTACTCTTACATCTCTGTTACCTGTCTTCAGATAGCAGCTGGAAGTGATCCTTTTAAACATAAGTTGTCATTTTTGCTTGAAACCCCATCTTTCTCTGAATATAAGCCAAATTCTTTCCTAGTCTGTAAGACTATTTCTCTGACTTTGCAACAGTAGCAATGGTCCTCTTGCTCTTAGAACACTCCAAGCATCTCTCTACCTAAAACACTCCCAGCATGTTCCCACCTCATAGCCTGTGTGCCCTCTCCCTTTGAATCTGCTTACCCAGCTTTGACATTTTTCTCTTTAGCAGTGGCATATTGTATTTATTTAATATTATTTATTTATTTATTTATGTATGCCTGTTACAAGAGCCATTCTGACAAGAATTTTTGTTTTGTTTACTATTCTTGCTGACCCATAAAAGTATGTGACATACAGTATATATTCAATAAATATTTGAATTAACAATTTGTGACTAGACAAATTGCAAGGAAAATAGCTAACTCTTGATGAGAATGAATTCATATATTGTTGACAGATTATTCATACTTACTAGAAGGGGAAGTGTACCGCTTGAAGTGAAATGAATTTGTTTTAGAAAAAAATTGTTGCAAAGCTTTAGTCTTATGTACAGTATTATGCTTTCATGTTGCCTGTTTGTAGAAACCAAGCTGAAAAATTTGCACGACTTCCTGTTGAATTTATGGTAAGAAAAGTAATACAGTAAATGTGTGCTTGCTTCTTTATTCTTTAGACCTTTGCTTTTAAATTTTATTTTCTTAGATCTAGGATTCTTTATTATGTTTTAGGGTTATAATGTGCTGTTTTAATCTGGTGACCACTGACTTACCCCATCAAATTAGAAGGTTTATTGCATGGTTTACTTTGGAAGTAGAGGCAGTTTCTCAGTGGAAAGCTTAGTGTTGTAAGTCTGTTGTATATGAGTATATCACCCTTTTTAAAAGGCTGTCCAGTGTAAATTTGGGTTACCTTAACTGGGCTGCTTTTGTAAAGTTTCCTCACACCCTTGAATCCTCCATATTTATACCTGAATTTAGAATTAATAGTTGCCAAAGCGGAACCTGCGTTTTACCCAACAAGTCAGTATCTTTAACAGAGACGGAAACTAACTTTCTGAAACTGTGTAGGTACAGGTCTTCCGGGAACAGGACTAGTAGTCTTGAGGCTCTTTGTAATTCTATGACTGTAGCACAGTTTTGGATGGGGTTAAATTGTAAATCATTGTAGGATTATTATCCTGAAATAAAAAAAAATAATACATGTGTATGGGAAAAGTTGTAGTTCAAAAAATATATATTAGGATAAAATAAATCATACTCCTGGGCTTCAGTCCCTTCTACTCCCAGACAACTGATGTTACCTTTTGTCTGTAACTTTCTAGATAGTCCATGGATGTGAAGGCATGTATAGTATTCACAGATATTTCTACATAAATCATTTGTACAGTCTTGTACCATACTAATGTCTTTTAGCTACCTCTCCATATCCTTTCATATAGGTCTGTTTTATTCTTTTTAACCTCTTCATAGTTTTCCATTTTAAGGACCTGCCATGATTAAATGATAGAAAATGAAATACTATCCATTTTGGTTTTTGTTTCTCTTCTAGGTAGATGTTCTTAGGAGAGTAGTCACAAGTGGACATTTATACTCAGACATATCTCTAGTGTTTTCAGTAATCTCTGAAGTTGCTGACTTAGTGGCAGTGTATTATCTCAGGTAGGCCTCTGCTGACTTGCTCTTCATTCTTGTATCTTTCTCCTCTCCTTCCCTTCCTTAATTTAAAAGGATTTCTCTATTAAAGAAAAAGCCTTTCTAGTCGTCAGCAGCATTGTGTTATTTTGTTAAAGATTAAAATGTTGCTGGCCCTCCCTGGTGGCGCAGTGGGTTAAAGCAAAGCACTAAGAGGCTGGGGCCACTTCCTCAGGAGTTCGATCCCCGACTGACCTGGAGGCGGCCATGGGTGACCACATGGTGTGGCAGACCTCTCCTGACCCGCCTGCTGCCCCCCTTAGCAGTGTACTTCATCTGATCTGCCTGTTCTGCTCTCCACTCTTTCTCTGGTGAGCCCTCTCACCCTCTGCATCTCTGGCTTGTACCAGTTCTGAATGAATGAATAAATAAATCTTTTTTTTTTTTTAAGATTTATTTATTCATATAGAACTGGGGTACAGGCCAGAGATGCAGAGGGTGAGAGGATTCACCAGAGACAGTGTGGGGAGCAGAACAGGCAGATTTACGAAGTACACTGCTGAGGGGAGCAGTGGACGGGTCAGGAAAGGTCTGCCACGCCATGTGGATCTCTTCCAGGACAGGCGGGAATCGAACTCATGTGGAAGTGGCTTAAGCTTCTTAGTGCTGTGCTTTAACCCGCTGCGCCACCAGGGAGGGCCTAAATAAATAAATCTTAAAAAAAAAGATTAAAATGCTGCCCAGGAAATAATAATGTCTAAGTTCAATATTTTAAAAGTTAGGTTCTATAAAAGATAAAGTTAACGGATGGAGAGAATATTTGGGTACATATATGAACTTGATAGCTGTTGTATGTCAGGCCTCCTTTTCTCTCAGCTGGTAACTTAAAACCAAAGTCAATTTTTAAAATTAGGTATGGTAGAACTCCTCAGAGACAGCTTTAGAAGAGTTCACGTGCTTATGTTAAAATAAACAGGACTGATTTTTAGTGCTTTTCCAACTGCGGTAGGTTGTTCATATTTTTTAAAACTTTTGCTTTAAGTTCTTAAATATGTCACAAAAGTTAAATTTATTTGAATTGACAGATGCAAGAATATGTAACTGTTTGAAGTGCAGTTTAACTCTTGCAGATGTAAGGAACAGAAACTTGCTTTTTTATCATGTATCTGTTAACATTGATAGAACATAAGGTTTCATTTGGCAAAAATTCTTTTTCTTTGCATCTCAGTATGATATTAAGAATTGGAGGCTCAGTGAAATATCCTTATCCCTGGAAGTGATCCTTCCAAAATGAACTTGGAGGAATAGTTGGAACAGAGCTTTTCTTTTTGCTGATTAAACACTGTAGAAGGCTTTTAGAGCTGTGTAACCTTTTAAGCCTGGCCATCACTACAGTGCAGACCTTTCAGTACTTTTATTCAGCTGACAAACACTAGTTATGCTAATATCACTGAATAAAAAGTTTAAACAGATTAGAATTTCCTTGTGTTTTGTCCTGTGCTACATGCAAACCATTATTATTATTTAAATCATAGTAATCTTCTCTCTCCTTTTTACAAGGTCACAGAATTGCAGATTAATGTCCAAGCAAATATGTGAAGAAAGTTAAACTTATTGATGCATGAAAATGTTTATGACTTGAAAAATATGTGACTATGTCCATTAGTTCAAATTTAGAAAAAAATCAAGAGGGAGTTTTTATTATTAAATTTACTTATTTTCTTACGTCGTTCACTTTTGTATAATGTTTGATTTCTCTCCTAGGTGTAGTCCTCATAGTTCTGTTACTGCCATAGTGCCCATGAACCATCTCCATAATCCTTTGTGCTGTTCCCTCCTGTTCGGACTCCTCTGCCTTCCTCTCCCCAGCTGTATGCCTCAAATCTATGGACATCTAGCTTTTGGTCCTTGATCTGCTACTTGATTAACTGTGGCCTTACTTAAATCCTTTTAACTTCTCTGGATCCCCAATTCTGCTGAGGACTGAAGTTTTTAGAATGCCATTTTGGATTTCTTATGTATATTTCATATTTTGGGAATGCCTTAGTTTTGTGCTTGTGTCCATGGCAATATAATCACAAGTATGTAACTTGAAAAGTATTGTAAGAATATCATAAACAGATTTGAGGTTAGAATAAGTTCGAAAATTTGTAGTAATAGGTTCTTATCTATATATTTCAATCTTGAAAATGGTTCTGTAGTTATTATCTTTCATGTCTTTTTCTATCTGGTTGCAGTCATCTCTTTTTGAGACTTCTAAATAAACATTTATTGGTAACTTAGGAAAAAGGCAAATGAAAGAGTTTAGACTGTGTTTCTATTTCCAGAGGGATTTATGATTATGTTGACACTTTGAGCTAGCTTGTAAAGATTACTGCAGATCTGTGATATTATTTTTGCCACTTTTTGTGGTATGGATTAGTATTTGGACAGGAGAATGCAGTTTCTGTCTGAACTTCACATACCTTTGTACTCTTGAGGAAGTAATACAAGTAGTAGTAAAATGAACCAGAAATAAGAGGATGGTATTTGATTATTATTTTAGTCATTAGGAGTTATGGCATGTTAAGAAAAACATGGGACTAACAGAAGGCTTGTTTGAATTTGGGCTCACGTTAGACAAGTCACTTGACTTTTTTGCTCTTTTTCATCATTTCTCAGAGTCAGCAACAACTACTCAGAGTTGTGAGGAAAAGAAGATAATTTTGCAGCAGTATTTTATGGTCCAGGTTGTTATTGTGGTCCAGTATACTTTGGATAGAAAGAACTAAATTTTCAACGTGGAATTTTGGCAAATAACTTTTATTTTAAGCAAAAAATGTATGTGAAGGAGGACTTAACCATCAAAGCATAAAAATGAGATTGTTGTCTACTTTATGAAAAGAGTTCAAGGAATGAAAGCTTATATTTTCTAGTCATTTTAAAGTTGTTTAAAATGAATGTAAAAAGTCAATTTAAAAATTAGCACAAAAACTTCTTGAACCCTGTTTTGAAAAAAGACATTTAACTTTTAAGTCTCTGGCTCTAGAAATACACTTTTGTCCGAATCTTGGCAATAATTTAAAATTGGTGACATTTCACATGTTTTTGGACTTGTAAAGAATGTTTTTGACTTTGGGTATTGTGTTTAAGTATGCTGTCAGCTCCAGTTCATTTTACTTTTGCTTTTTTTCCTCCAGGTTTTTCGTTGGAATATACGTTGCACATTTATGGCGATTCTGAGCGTGAGGGCAGACTTCTGCCAGGCTCAGCACAGCGTTTTTGCTGACAAGTGAGCTTGGGGGTTCTATGTGCCATAATTAACATTGCCTTGAAGACTCTGGACACCGAGACTGGCCTCAGAAATAGTTGGCTTTTTTTTTTTTTTAATTGCAAGCATCTTTCTTTTAATGACTCCAGTAAAATTAAACATCAAGTAAACATAAGTGGAAAGCGACCTACACTTTTAACTTGTCTCACTAGTGCCTAAATGTAGTAAAGGCTGCTTAAGTTTTGTATGTAGTTGGATTTTTTTGGAGTCCGAAGGTAACCATCTGCAGACATTGAGGCCCCAAGTTGATTTTTGGATTCAAGTGGATTCTAAGTACTTCTGCTTATCTTGAAGAGAGAAGCTTCTTAAGGAATAAACAAGTTGAATAGAGAAAACACTGATCGATAATAGGCATTTTAGTGGTCTTTTTAATGTTTTCTGCTGTGAAACATTTCAAGATTTATTGATTTTTTTTTTTTCATTTTCCCATCACACTCACACGCACGCTCACACTTTTTACCATAATGAATCGCCCAGCCCCTGTGGAGATCTCCTATGAGAACATGCGTTTTCTAATAACTCACAACCCTACCAATGCTACCCTCAACAAGTTCACAGAGGTAAGATTGTATCATGGTCTATTTTTTGGATTGATTCTTAGGTAACATCCATTAAAAATTAATACCATTATAAAGAAATCTCTCATCACAAAGCCATTTCTTTTATTTTTAAAATGAAACAGGCAGAGCAATTGAAACACACTGCTGAGGGGAGCAGTGGGTGGGTCAGGAGCAGTCTGCCACGCCATGTGGATCACCTCCCTGGCTGGGGATCTCACTTGGTGCTGCAGTGACTGCGGACAGCTTCTTAGTGCTGTACTTTAACTTGTTGCATCACCAGGGAGGGCCTCATTCTTCTGGTTTTGCACCATTAATGTTTCCAGCTTTTTCCCATTTCAAACAGCCTATCCTGAACTTGCTGGTACTTAGATCTTTGTGTACATCTTTAATTATCTTGTTATAATAAATTCCCAGAAGAGGGGGTGGGTTTGAGGGAAGGGAGGCAAATGGTCCCAGGAGAATTTCTAGGTCAGAATATGTACTTTTAAAGTTTTTGTGTTTATGTTACCAAATTATTCTCTGTGAAGGTAAATTATTGATGCCTCTACTGAAAGTTTGAGAACATCTGTATGTAAGTTGCCACAATTCTCCAGTTGAGAATAGTTTTGATCTTTGTCTAAGAATAACATCTTAATTGTTTCAGTTTATGATAGTGCATTTAAAAACTTTGGAGGCAGATTATAGAGACAACTTTCCTTATATTTTTCTTTTAAAGGAACTTAAGAAGTATGGAGTGACAACCTTGGTTCGAGTTTGTGATGCTACATATGATAAAGCTCCAGTAGAAAAAGAAGGAATCCACGTCCTAGTGAGTGTGTAATGTTTTAATTTTCACCACAGACAAGTATCTTTCAAATAGATATTTGTAAGCTTATAATAGGATAAACAGTACTCATAACAATCTTGAAAATTTTCTTTAGATTTTGTTCATTGTCCATTTAAAATCTACATGCTTTCTATAAATAGAAAGCAAAATTTAGTGCACATTTATTTCAGGAAAATGGAAATTTGTATTGCTTTCCTTAGGAGATTAATGCACGATTTAATTTTTGTTGCTAGAATGCTGGTTTGAATTTAAAAGTAATTTCCATTAGACATTCTTTAAGTCACATGGAAATATTCTCTCCTACTTAAAAAAAAATTACTTAGTATATCTTTTGAAAACTTGTAGAGGGCAGAAAAGTATGAGGAGTGGATAAAACGGAAGAGGGAGACAAGGCATCTTGGTCCAGAGTAGTTATGTTTCAGACATTTTACTCTTTGGTAGAGTTCTAAGCAGCTTTTGTGTGATTAGACTTCTTTCATAGTCCAGTTTGAACATAATGTGATTAGAGGTAAATTAAATTAAATTCCTCCGTAGTCCCTAAATATTCTGTTTCATTATTGGGAGCAAGAGCCTCAAGTAAGGTAAAAATTCATACATTCTTTTCTAAATGTTTAAGTTGCAGGAGTCTGTAATGAAATGGCCTTGTAGTTATAGATGTCTTACAGAAAAGTCTTCACTGGATCATTTGATTTGATTGTGGGAAGACTGTATCGGAAGAAAACTGTAGATTTTTTTTAAGTAGTTGAGTAGAAAGAATGTAATAAAGATGATACTGATATAAGGATGATTGAGAGGTAGTTGAATTTGTCAATCGTTTGGAAGACAGTTCATGAAAAGAAATACACTATTCTTAAGGACGTTGTCATATTTGCTCCATAAAATTTCCTCACATCCATTTTGGTGAAGACAAAAACTAAGTAACCTGTTTCTCAAAAACATTTTTTTTTTTAAATTTTATAGCAGTTTATTTTTACATCATTTTGTACATTTTTTTTTTTCATCTCAATTGTAATCCCCGTGTAAAAACATAATTTAATGGGATAGCCAGCCAGGTATAATAATGTGCTTGTTTCCCCATTTCTATATGACTTTAAAGGTCTCCTATGTGAAACTCATGGGGATAAGTATAAACATGTACAATGTAGCTCTCTGTTCAAAAAAATTTTTAAACTTAAACTAGGGTAACCACAAACTTTTTTTAAAGACAAAAAAAATGTATGCATACAAGAACAAGGGTACAGGCCAGAGGTTCAGGGGCAGTGAGAAGATTCACCAGAGACAGAATGGGGAGCAGAACAGGCAGATTGATGGAAGTACACTGGTGAGGGGAACAGTGGGTGAGACAGATGAGGTCTCTCTGCGCCTGCACCATGTGGGTCAGCTCCCTGGCGGAGGATTGAACTTATGCTGCAGTGGCTGCAGATAGCCTCATAGTGCCGTGCTTTAACCTCTTGTGCCACTAGGGAGGCCCCTGACTACAAATTCTTTTTCCTATATTGTATGTTCTTTTGTGGATAGATGAGAAGTCAGTTGAGAAAATGAACTGTGGAGTGACTGGAGTCTGTCTGAATCAGTAATGTTGGTAAACACCTTTATGAAATAGAAATGAATTAAAGAACAAACATAAACTAGTTTGTGAAGAGTAGGTCTGGGATTTATTCTAGGACTTTTAAGTCTAGGTTTTTGTTTTGTTTTATGTTAATTAGCTGTGATCAGATAAAATTAGGGTCTTACTTAAAACTGAAAAAACATTTAGAATTAAGCTTTGCATTTTTCTTTTTCCCAGAGATTTTAGATTGTTAATTTACTTTTTGCTAGTTGAAGAGCATTTGGAATATTTCATAAAAGGACATCTCCCTAAATAAGCCTTTTTAATTCTTTGATGAGTACTCGTGGCTAATCAGAGGCACATTGGACAAGGCTTATGGTTTCAGCTATGTTAGTTTGAAGTTCAGATGCCTTTTTTTTAAAAGATTTATTTTATTTATCATACGAGAGCTGGGGTGTAGGCCAGAGATACAGGGGAAGGGGTGAGTGGATTCACCAGAGACAGTGGGGTGCAGAACAGGCAGGTTGACTAAAACACTGCTGAGGGGGACAGGGGTGAGACAGGAGAGGTCTGATGGACCATGTTGGTCAGCTCTCTGGCCCAAGATTGAACTCTGCTCTAGTGGCTGGTGATAGCTTGATAGTGCTGAGACTTTTTACACCACCAGGGAGGCCTCAAGTTCAGGTGCTTTTCAAACTATTACTTGAATGGTTTTTTTGATAGAAACTGTTCTGTATTACATTGGTCTGTGGTTGGGAAGACAGTTCATGCAAATAAAAGAGTAAATGAAGCATGTTTCTTCTTATTCCTTAATTAAATTTTAGGGAGTATTAGAGGAGGTAAACTCTTGATAAGATATTACTTAGGACTAAGGTTTTACTGTTATTTACAATTAGACTCTGTAGTGACATAATAATCTGATATGATAGCCTTTTAATTATGTGGTATAGTTGACTAATCAAACATCATGTACTGTCATGGCTAGTGGGCTACACAAAGTGTTCTAGTGGTGTCCATAATAAGTACAGAATCAATTTAATGCTTTTTCACTTTTCTCCCTTCTATAGTATCTTATTAAAGTGGCCTTATCTGATCTTATTAAAATAGTCTCCTGTTAAACAAATTATCCCAATGTTTTTGCATTTCAGTGAGATGCCAGTTGGTATATTTTGTCAGAGTGGATTTTTAAAAATTACTGATAGGTATCTTTGTTTTAGCTTTAATTATGTTTTCTCTGTTAATCTTATTACTATATTCAGATAAAATATTTGAAAAACAGCCATTGACTTAATCACTTTGATGAGAGGTTTCCATAAGGTTAAAATCAAGACACTTATGACACTATTTCATTGAGAAGGCTAAGTCATCTTGGATCATTTTTCAGCAGTGTTCAGAATTGTGTTATTTAGAGTAAGTATTTATATAAGGTTAGTTCAATTAGATCCAGTCTGTGTACTATGCAGCTATTCTGCATTAGGATATTAATCGTGGGGGAAAAGCAGTTTAATGTAAAAGATCTATTTTTCCCCAGGATTGGCCATTTGATGATGGAGCACCACCCCCTAATCAGATAGTAGATGATTGGCTAAACCTATTAAAAACCAAATTTCGTGAAGAGCCTGGTTGCTGTGTTGCAGTGCATTGTGTTGCAGGATTAGGAAGGTAAGATTTTACCTTTTTACCTGTGAATTCATTTATTATCATGCCTAAGTGAACCAGTAGAGAATTCACTTTGGTGGACACTTGCATTTATTATACTAAATATTAGATTATATGAAAGGAAAGGAAGTAAGGACAAAAATTGGTATAATGATTTCTTAACTGTTTTTTGTGTTTCATTGGTTGTCTGAGTCTGGTGCTATACTAGATTTAGGGGGGTGATGGTTCAGAAGTTGTTTAAAGACTGATTTATATAATTGTCTTTGAGCTAAGAAGTGTTTTCTTTTTCTTCATATTTTTATTTTATCAAAAATTCAAGTCTTTGAAATGGGCAACAAAAGTAAAATAACAGATTTTTGAACAGTCTATGCATTGTTTATTTTGGGTAAGAAAGTTAGTATGTGGAAGTTAGTATGTGGAGAGCAGATGGCTGAACTTTAAACTCCTGAAAGGAGATGTATGGAGAATGAAAATTGACTTTGATTTTAAGACTTTTCCTTTAGCATTGCTTGGAGTGGTGTTGCAGGCCTCTTGTTAAAAGCAGATGAAAATGCCAACTTGTGATGTGCCCTTGAACTGAAAACAATGCAGACTGCTGTTGCCTCAAGATGGTGGTGACTCGGGATGTTACATCTGCTCAGCCCTTTGGTTGCTCCCCTTCCTCTCCCACCCTTAACCTTCCTAGCCACCCCCACCCACCCCCACCCACACCAGTTTAGTAGTTTTTTCTTCAGGGTCAGAACTTTCAGTTCTTAACTTGAAGAGTAAAAGTATAGTTAGTGCTCTAACTTGACTTGGGGTAATTTTATAACTAATAACTACTCGTGCTAGTTAGTCTAGAGTTGGTGTCCTGTAGATTTGCTAGATTGCAAAAATGTATATCCTAACCTCTGACGCATTTAAAAAAAAATAAATAGTAGTTTATTTTTACATCATTTTGTGCATTTTTCCATCTCAGTTGTAATTCCCGTGGGCTTCCCATCACCAAATCACCTGTGTGCCATGACTATAGCCTAGTGCATTTCCCTTCCCCCACTTTTTTTGAGCCCATTCCCCACTCCACCCCCATAAAATATCTCTGGTATATAGCTGTTCATTATTATTGTTTTCTCACCTGGTGCTATGAGTGAAACCATCCAGTAATTTTCCTTTTCTTTCTGGCTTATTTTGCTAAGCATGTTCTTTTCCAGCTCCATCCATGTTGCAGCAAAAGGCATGTGTTTATTTTTTTTGGTTGTTGAGTACTAGTCCATTGTGTATAGGTACCACATCTTTTTAATCCAGTCATCCACTTTGGGCATTTGGGCTGTTTCCATGGCTTTCCATTTGTAAAATAAAGCAGCAATAAACATGGGAGTGGAGGTATCTTTTTGAATCAGTGTTTTTGTGTCTTTTGGGTAGATGCCTAAGAGTGGGATTGCTTGGTCATTGGAAGCTCCATGAGTAGCAGTTTGAGGAACCTCCAAACAGTTTTCCATAGTGGTTGCACTAGTTTGCTTTCCCACCAGCAGTGCTGGAGAGTTCCTTTTTCTCCACATTCTCGCCAACATTTGTTGTTGCTAGTTGTTTTACGATGTGCGATTCTCACTGGGGTGAGGTGGTATCTCATTGTGGTTTTAATTTGCATCCCCCTTATTACAAGGGATGTTGACATTTTTCAAATGCTTGTTGGCCATCTGCATTTCCTCTGTGGAGAAGTGTCTTTTTAGCTTTTCTGCCCATTTTTTGATGGGGTTGTTTATTTTTGTTGAATTTCATCAGTTCTTTGTATATCTTTGTGATTAATCCTTTATCACTAGTTTTGTGTGAGAAAATTTTTTCCCAATCAGTGGGATGTCTGTTTTTTGTAATGTCTCTTTTGCTGTATAGAAGCTCTTTAACTTGATGTAGTCCCAACTATTTATCCTTGCCTTCACAATCATTGCAATGGGTGCTGTATCTTCAAAGATGACCTCTGACACACTCTTAACTCAGGAAAAGAACTTTGTTGAAGAAGTGTAATACCTTTTAAATATTTGATGAGAATGATTTGTAGCAAAAATTACTGAGATCCTCTGCCTAGAGAAACATTTGAACATTTTATTTCACCATGATAAATTATTTTTGATGTGAAAATTCCATATTTTGTGATGTCTTTTTTTTAAAAAGAGTTTTTATGCATACTGAACTGGGGTACATACAGGTCGGAGGTACAGGAGTGGTGAGAGGCTTCACCAGAGACAGAGTGGGGAGCAGAACAGGCAGATTGACGAAGTACACTGCTAAGGGGAGCAGCGGGTGAGACAGGAGAGGTGCCATGTGGGTCAGCTTCCTGGCTGAAGATCCAACTTGTGCTGCAATGGCTTTGGATAGCCTCATAGTGGTGTGCTTTAACCCCTTGTGCCACCAGGGAGGCCCTTATTGTGATGTTTTAAAGAGTAGAGTTCTCCTATAAAGATTTAGAATTTTCATGCTGTGCTGAAAATAGATACAGAAGCTATAATGATAGAGGTATTTTTAGGACAATGGAGAGTAGCAGATATTTTAGTATGTAGGAAAAAGGAAAAATTCAAGGCACTAAGTAATGTGAAATCCTGTATTAAAAAAAAAAATCCTTTAATTCCAAACACCTGTGGATACTTACAAATGAGTTTCTCTCTGCAGGGCACCTGTACTGGTTGCACTTGCATTGATTGAATGTGGAATGAAGTATGAAGATGCAGTTCAGTTTATAAGACAGTAAGTATGAAATTTTATGATTGAAAACACATATAAAGAAAGATCATGCAAGAGGAAGGAATTATGGGAAGTATCCATTTGTAGAACAGAGTAGTTTGCTGTATTTGGCTTACAATATTGCTTGACTGAAGATATCAGAAAGACCAAGTGATATAGATACAGTAATACTTGTAGTTCCAAAATTGAAAGGTTTTATAAATTATGTGCAATTTATTCTGTTGCAAATTCAGATATTATAGAATATATCCAATATATTTCTTGAATATCTAGGGGTCTTTAAATAGCTAGGTAGTCGAGTCTCAGAGTCTCTTTTAATGGATGTCCAAATGCAACTCTCTAAGAGGTAGGGAAGAATTTAGAAGAGCCAGGACCGTAAGTGACTTATTTAGGCACAAAATCAGAAAAAGGTTTTTAGTGGAAGGCATGAAAAGTATGGTAGCAGCTCTAGAAAGGTCACATTTTACAGAAACCCACCTTTTTCTGCTCATCTAAATACTTGCTCATTCATCCTAAATACTTACTACCATTTCTAATCTGAAGAAGATATTATTCTAATTGGGAAGAATATGGTCAAATGTTTCTGGACACACCTCTGAACTTTATTAGATGATTAATATCTAATGAGAATCAGCTGAGACAATTGGGAAGGCACAGAAAGCTCATTTTTCAACTCAATTCTTAAATTAAGAAGTGATATAATAAAGGAGCTATGCTAGTTTTCAACTGTGTGAGTTAGAAAAGCTGGAGGCCATAAATAATGCATTTCATTGATTCAGGCAACTCTTTTTACATGATAAAGTTTGCCATTCTTATATTTTCAGAAAAAGAAGGGGAGCGTTCAATTCCAAACAGCTGCTTTACCTGGAGAAATATCGACCTAAGATGCGATTACGCTTCAGAGATACCAATGGGCATTGCTGTGTTCAATAGAAAGAAATGTAAATGAGGCTGACTTGATTGTGGCATTTAGAGGGAACTCTTGGTACCTGGAAATGTGAATCTGGAATCTTAACTGTGTCATCAAGTAGTGATGGATTCAGTACTCCTCAACCACTCTCCTAATGATTGGGAAAAAGCAAACAAAAAAGAAAATCCCTCTATAAACAATGAATAAAATGTTTAAGAAAAAAAAGAAAGAAAGAAAAAAGGGATTAATTCAGTCAAGGGTGATTTTGCTCCTAGTGTTAGATTTTGAATTTCTGTCAAGATTGAATTATTTAAAAACCTCCTGTCTTTTTTAACTGTTTCAAAATAGGTCTCTAAAGAAAACCAGCAGAACATTAGCCTGTGCAAAACCATCTGTTTGGGGAGCACATTCTTCCATTATGCTTGGCACATAGATCTCCCTGTTGTGAGAATTCTTTTCTTTTCTTTCCTTTTTTTTTGGGGGGGGGAGGTTTGTATATTTTTCTCCTACTTTTCTTTCACCACCCCCTTTTTTTCCCCTCATACAAGTTGTAGGTGGAATAGGAAAAGCCCTTGTTGCTATAGATGTGTGTGCAGTTTGGCAGCCTTAAGCCCACCTGGGCACTTTTAGAAAAAAAGAAAAAAGAAAAAAAAAAGAGCAGTGATATATATTACATGATCCAGGTTGGTTTTAGTCTTTATTGATAGGGTATTCACGTTAGTTTCTTTTCTTGAAAGCCCTATTCAAAATTAGGCAAAGTAGCCAAGAACTGTTTGTTTTGGCAAATTAGTAGGGAAATGACATTTTAAGACAAGTCTCTCTTCTCAATGAACTTAGCTGAGAGTCAAGTTCTTCTCTTTTCCAACCAATGAAGCTAAGTGGGTATCCCAGAAACATTTTTTTTTTTAGCTTTTGCTTTCTGAAGGGGGATTGCACCAGGCCATCATTAAAGATGTGTCCAGGCAAAGAGCACACTCTCTACATTCTAAAGAATTGTGGGCTGTAGCATTACTCTGATCTTCAATCTAGTGATGTCAGAGAATGCTGTTAATTAAAAATTTTTATTTTAGAACTTATATTCTGAATTTTCAGGAATGGTCAGAGGAGGAGCAACAAAGACATACTATTTTGGACCTGAGAAATGCCTGTGGTGGGTATTTTCTAAACTGTCCCCTTACCTGTACAGTTCAGTTTAACCACTGATTGCCTTGTTATTTTCTTAATAGTTTCTTTGTAAGATTAAAAAAAATCGCTGGTTCAAAACCAACAATGCCTAGTGAGTATGTGTCCACAGGCCATAACAGGATAGAAGAGAGAGCAACCCAGGGAAGAGCAAGGGGACTGCTTTCCAGTGTTCTTGCAGATTCTTTGCTGGGTTCAGTGTGCTGATTTAGAAAAGCTGTTATTCTGTTTTTCTGCAGAAGGCACCTATGACTGGGCTTCATTGACGAAACAAGTGAGGGACGCCGTCAGGGACTCTAGCACTCTATCTAAATATTAAATACGTAATAGTGGTCTGCTTGTAAGGATTTGAATAAAGGCTTAGGATCATCTTATCCTGCTGGAATTTGCTGTGCAGAGCCATACACTTCCCATTTTGTTCAGATCAGCTAGGCCAGTAGGAATGGACTAGGACCTTGTCTCACACTGATGATACCTCAGACATGGGCTGGCGATGTGAACTGCCTATTTCCTATGCTGGAGTTGTTTTGAATTTTAACAATGAAAATCAGTAGATTCTCTATCCCAGAAAAGAAAACAAAATAATGCTTTTTGAAATTGTTTATAGGATTTTAAAGTGAAAAATGATGGTACTATCCAAAATTCTTTATTTCAGAACATGACTATAGGTTCCTTTAATATAGGCTCAAGATCAAAATGGCATAACCTCTAAGCTCAGATTAGACCTACTCTCAAGAATTTTGATCAATACCACAACTACCTTATTTCTTCTTGACATCCTTTTGATTTTTGTTGCTTGAGGGGAGGGAGGGAGGGAGGGAAGAAGAGAGAAATGTGTGTGTGTGTATGTGTGCTTGTGCATGGTGCACCTGCACGCCCATGCCATGTCCACCAGTGGCAGTGCCTGCCTGAGTTAGGAAAATTACATTCCTGGTTCTGTATGAGGAAAAGGGTGTATAAAGCAACACGAAACATTAGGCCTTCAGTTTGTTTCAAATTACAGACTAATGTTGATTATTTTCAGAACTGGATTTTTCCCCTTAAAATTAAAGTTATTTTTTTCTTTTGGATTTAATGAAGTATTGCTAACTGAAACCAGTTTGACATGGTGAGAGATGTCATACTGATGAAAGCTGTGCAGCCTGATTTAAAACCAAACCCTGAACCCTTTTAAAGAACAATAAAACATATTTTACATGCTCTTTGTGCATTTGTTCCTCATTCCCAGGTTGACTTTCACTTATCTCCTTAGAAAACTTGGTATTCTCAAGGCCTATTTTTGGGTCCTGCTAATTACTGCAAGGAGGTGAAATAATTAAAGGTTGGGAAGTTCAAAGATTTCATGCCACCCAGGTAGGTATTCATAAGGGCAAACTTAACTATAGTTGGGTTACATCTGGTACATTTTCTGATTATGTTGCTAGACATAGCACTGTAGGAATTAAACATTTTATCTCATTTCAAAGGATTTATTTATACCATAGATTTTGATGAAACGTTACAACTTGACTCAACAACAAGGAAGGGCTTTTTTTTTTTTAATATATACCTTTTAAAACTTTATTTTATTTATGCCTACAAAAGCTGGGGCATAGGCCAAAGGGGTAGGGGTGGAGGGATTGCTGAGAGGATTCACCAGAGTGGGGAGCAGAACAGGCTGATCTGCTGAAATACATTGCTGAGGGGAGCAGCAGGCTAGACAGGGGAGGTCTGCTGTACCATGTGGGTCACCCCCTAGCTGGGGATTGAACTCTGCAGATGCTTCATAGCGCTGAGACTTAACCCCTTACTGCCCCACCCCCCAGCCCCCAACCCTTCAGAGGGAGGAATTTCAGGGGAGGAATTAGGGTGGGAAATTTCTCTTAAATTGTGAGTAAGCAACCTCCCTATCTGTCCAGGTAACAAATCTGTATGTTAAGGTATTAAGACATTAATCCCAATTTAGAGACACTCTGGAAGAGGGGTTGGATGTATGGAAACTACGAGTGGTTATAGAACTATGTGGCTGACTTCATGATTCTCTTAACCTGTCTTTTCCACCTCTTGCTTCACTTCCCAGCTTAGATTCTGTGGGCTTCTGTTTCACTCTCCTGACTACGTAGTGAATTGCCGTGACCTTGTCTTCACTATACTTGCTTGGCTAAACTCCCTTTCTAGTTCAGTGTGTTACTTTTCTCTGCATTTACACACTTGGGCATTTGAATATATTAATGCAGTCCGTTTAAAAGTCATGACTTTAAGTAAGCCTTAGTACATTCAGACAGTTCTACATCTCATTTGTACTTTAATTTTCCTTGAAAACTTAAAATTTTAACACCTTTCCTATCTTCACTCTCAGATTACGACTTTTTAAAGTTAGAAACAAGGACATTCCCACAGACTCCTACCATTACATACGTATCTGTGTCTGCATGAATATATACTCTCCTCCAGTCTATTGGTATTGGTAGATTGTTCTCACTGCACTTAACAGAAAGCTCTTCCAGCAGTGTTCTAGATTCTGTCCCTTATCTATTTAAAGGATCCAGGTTAAACTTCTTGTCCTGTTCATAAGTTTTCTGCGAGATCACTCCCATCACCTTACAAGTAGGCTACTCTCCTATCTTACAAATTGGTACCACCCCCTTCTCTGTTCTTCATATCAAACCTGAAGAACCAGCTACCTAAATTTCTCCAGTGAGGATTTTACCTTCTTAAACTGCCTATGTGAGATGGCCAGAAACCCTATGGCACAGCCCAGTAATCCATGGTCTATTCTCTGCTCCTTGCTCTGGCATGGACAGGTTCACTCTCCTGAAATGTTCATTTACTGTGTGGGCAGGGTAATGCCCACTCTCCTAAGATGTTCATGTTCTAAACCTTTATAACCTGTGAGTATTTTACCTTTCATTGCAAAAGGGACTTCAGCTGTGATTAAGTCTCTTGAGATGGGGAGATTTCTCTGGGTCCTCTGGATGGCCCTGATGTAGATTCCTGCATGGATCCTTAAAAAGAGAACCTTTTCTCAAATTGGAGATGTGGCCAGGAGAATGGTTGGAGAGATGGGATGCCGCTGGCTTTGAAAGAGGAAGGGAGCCTTTAGAAGCTGGAAAACTCAAGGGAATATTCCTCCAAAAAGGAACTTGCCATGCCAGCACCTTGCTTTTGTTCCTTATGGGACTTCTACAAAACTGTACAGTAATAAATGTTACTTTAAGCCATTAAGTTAGTGTTAATTTGTTACAGCAGCAATAGAAAGCAAATGCACAATTTTTGTCTCCTAGGTTACCAGAGCTAATTTAGCAATCACACTTTAGTTTGAGTTTCTGGTTCCTCATTGGCATCACCCCTGTCTCCCTGGACTGTTCTCTGGGCTCCACACCTATTGTAAAATCTGGGTGTAGGTCAGAGGTATAGGATGAAAGAATTTAGCAGACAGAAGAGGAAAGGCAGACTCCGCAAAGGAGCAGAGGTGAGGCCAGAGTAGCTGCTCAAAGCAGGGCTTGAGGCTGTCTTAAAACCTATTATCCGCTTGGATGTCTGGTCTTGGGCACAAGTCTTTGACACAGAATGTGTCCTGACTCCTTAGGCATTCAAGATCAAGGTGACCAGTTTCACAGCCAGTTCCCATGGCTACCAGTCAAACCTCTCAAATTTGTCTGTTGGGTAGGGAGTAGGGCCATGCTCAGCTGTTAACCTTAGTAGTGATAACCCAGTTATCCAGGCTCTACTTGACATATCGTGGGTGGCTCAATTAAAACACAGCTTCAAATTTCTGTTCAGATGTAACCACTAAGAGCTTCCACGAACACTATGTAAAATATAAAAATTCCATGACCACTTACTCCATGCCACTGTAGGGATCATGTGTTTTGTTTTCTCTGCAGCACTCACTCTATCTCACAATCTTTTTCCATCAAGACAAACCACAAGGACATGGGTTTGTTTTTGGTCTGTTTTTGTTAATATCTTCATCTAGACTGCTGCTTGGCCTGGTGCCCACTAACTGCGTGAATGACTACTAGTAAAAGCATAGGTAGATGGTACTGTAGAGAAGGGAGCACGCTAGGAATGTTTTGCAGTGGTCGTATTTGAGCTGTGCTTTGAAGTGTTGTAGAAAAGGTTGATAATGAGATATCTGCATATCTACTATGAAGACTGTAATAAGATGGAGAGTAACAATACTTGGCAAAGGTGTGGAGAAAATGATTCCAGAGTTGTGGCAGCCACATTTGAAGAACAGTGACGAGAGTCTCAAGAAAGAACTTCCATGTGGCCCAGCAATAAATCCACTATCCAATTCTAGTTACATAACATTGTCGAGGGCAGGGTGGGAACTGGGAGTGACTGCTAATGGGTGTAGGATTTCTTTTGGAGTAATGAAGATATTCTACAATTAGTGGTGATGTTTGTATAACAATGTGAGTATAGTTAAAAGCACCTGAGTTACACTTTTACAAAAAGTATATGTGAGGAAAGAGTACATTTCAGGCAGAAGAAACAGTAGGAGAGGAGGTATGAAAGAGAAAGACATTTGGGAGGAGGAGTGTGATTTGGTCTCTGAAGTATATGGACTTTGCAGG